CATAAAGAATAAAATCATTCAGTATATGTGTGAGGAAGGACAAGAGGGCAAGGAAAGATGGGATGAAGGATGGGAGGAAGGAAGGAGAGAAGGAAGAGGCTGAGTTTAGGGTTCGAGGAGTATGCTATGTGTGGGTTAAGACCCAAGAGGCTCAAGGGAGCAAGGTCTTACCTGGTGCCTCTGATAGGCTGAAAACATTTTTTCAAAATCCTCTAGGTCCAGAATCCGAAATACCTGCATGTCATCGATCTCATTCCATACGGTGCCAGAGACACGCTCCTAAGATTCAGGGTGGGGAGAAGATCTCATGGTTGACCCAGCTCTCCCTTATGGATATGCTCAGTGCTTCCCTAACCCTGCTGTCTCCCAAGTGTACAACAACAAAGGCCAGGCTTTCAGACCTTCAGAAGGGTCAAATCCTTTTTTCACACCTCCATCCCTCTTTAATACCTTGCTTCAGAGTAAAGGCCATGGACAACCCCCTTCTTCTCTCTTCTGTGTGGGGCCACATGTAAGCATGTTCCAGAAATCACTGGCATGCTGAAGTGATCACTGGGCACAAGGGGGAAAGGGAATGCACTACTCTCTTCCCAGAAAAGCAAACACAAATGCCCCGTTCTCAGGGCAGGGCTTACTGAAAGCTGCTGCTGTCCCTGGCTGGGATCTTTGGAAGAATTAGTGCCCATATGTATTTGGGATCCTCATGGCCTCAGCACAGACTGCATTTCCTGTATTTGAGATGATCATTTTCTTTCCCAAGGGCATTCATCCCATTTTCCCAGAAAGTGGACAAATGCCAGAGGCTAGGATACCCTGGCCTCTATAGAAACTCTGCTCAAACCAGCAAGACCCTGCCACAATTTCCCATTGGTTTGAAAGACTAGAGAAGGCATCCCCACCCTCTGTGCTAGAGTGGGCCCAGGTGAGCCCAGGATTTTACATTCTAAGGTCTGCCCATTTCTAGTAGGACCTTTCCACTGGGGTTTGGAAAGGAGTTGTTAGCCAAGCCAAAAGATGTCCCAGTTTTGTAACTCTGCTGATGGCATAGGAAACAGGGATTGGGTTTAGAGCAGACAGCCTTTCGCTTCACCTGAGTGGGCTCCACCCTTCTTTTCCCAAGAATCCTCAGTTCACTTGGTGCTTTACTGTCCTTTAAGAATCTCCCACCTTCTTACTGCCTCCTCCTCCCCACATCTCCCCCTCAGCCAGGCTTAGAGAGAGGAACATACCTTTCACTCACTTTTATTTTCTTAAACTCTGGAAAGGGGAGGCTAGGCCAGGGTTGGGGGGTGGGAACATTCCTGTGGCCTTCTGAAGGCCAGGGACCCTCTTGTGGAATGCCGGGCTGGGAAGCTCACAGCAGCAAGGGATACAGGCAACTGGCCAAACCCAACACAGACACATTCTTTTCATGGCAGAGACAACCACTGTGTGTGTGTGTGTGTGTGTGTGTGTGTGTGTGAGTGTGTGTGTATTGCATGTGTGCGTGTACATAGGAACAAGCATGGGGTAGGGGAAGGGAACTGGGGAAAGGAGTTAGGCTCCTGGAAAAGGGTTTGTGGGGGTGGATCGATGAGAAGGGGAAGGCAGAGAAGGGAGTTGAGGTAGTATGTGGTGCTGGGTGACCCAAAGTCTACTATGCAAGGAAACCTCCCTCTGAGTTGAGGCCTGCAGGTAACTATGAGGAGAGGGAACGGTCATAGAGATGAAGCTTCCCACCCCTCTTTATTCTTGCTGGTGCCAAGGTAAGGAGAAAAGAGTTGGAATGAGAGAGCTGGATGTTCAACACTAGGGAGAATTTCCCATGAGACCACAGACTAAACGTCCCAGCTCTCTTTCATCTTCCTAAGCACAAGGCTTCTCATATTTTCCAAAAGGACCTGAGGTTCCCCATGGAAGTGTCACTGAAGTCTGGAGCTACATAGAAGTAGACCTGTTCCTAACATTTCAACTCAGACCAAGATCCCATCATCTCCAGTCTAGATTCCTAGGATTCTGCTCCTCTATAGACATCATTTACATGCTAAGGAAATCCTTCTCAGAAATACATTTAATTGTGTATCCCTTGGAAGGGATTGCCTTTGGGGTCAGGTAGACCTAACTGGCTGACACTCCCAGCCCTGCCATAATGTGAGACTGGACAAACAGGGATATCATTCTTTTCCTATGTCACATAAAAGAAAATGGAGTCTTTACTTCTGAGTTAATGTGAGTGTTAAGTGAGGTAACACTTAAAGCACTTGTTATTAGATGCTAATAATAATTGAATATGATTATTATTACTGTAAGACCTTCTATGTATCAGTCATAGTACTTTTTATATATTAAGTCAATTAATTCTCTTAATAATCCTCTGAATATTTTTACCCTTATTTTATAGACCAGCAACCTGAAACCCAAAAGATTAAATAACCTGACTCTGTCATACAATAAAAAACTTGAGACCACTGGCCGACCACATAGGTCAGTGGTTAAGGTAGCTGAATTGCACATGGCAAACTGTGGTTTGAATCTTGACCCCATCAATTTGAAAAACAGGTCATATATATATGTGTATGCATGCCTAAAGTACTGACAGGACAGAGAAATGGAGGAAAAGGATTGTGGCATGACCACATCCCACTGGAGGCTCTCTCTCTCTCTCTCTCTCTCTCTCTCTCTCTTTAAGTGCATGCACCCTCTGGCAATTGGAAGCAAACAATCTTGGGACTGGAGTGGTAGTTCTCCAATATTAGTCAATACTTCTACACCCCACTGTTGCCAAGAATGTGAAACTCCTACAAATACTCTCCATTGCCTACTCCATTAAATGTACACTCTCCAGTCAAGAATAAAACTGGCCTACTTTGGGTCCTTGAGGAATTTATATAGACTTAACTATTACTGGGCCCAGAGAAAATCCCAAGCACAAAGTTTCCTATAATGAAAATGCTGCAAAAGTAATGGTTGCCGTAGCCAGCCATGGTGGCTCAGTGGCGAGGTAATACTCGGTGATGCTGAAGCCACATAGGAAGATCCCAGGTTCTTATTCCAAGGTCCACCTGTACATAGCAGGTGCACACATGTGCCCATGATCTTCCTGGATGAGGATGGGGGTGGATTGTGGCATAAAGACTTTGTTGGGTGTGCCTCTTTTTTTCTGAAGAAATAGATAAATAAACTTTAAGAAAATAATTGCTTTTTCTGTCTTTCTTCATCATAACATACATGATAACTTTTCATTACATTTTTAAAAACTTAACTTATAAGTCATAAGTATGGAGGATGAAATATTTTTTTTACCACAATTAAATAAATCAGTGGAACCAGTTCTGTGGCCTAGTGGTTAAAGGAGCTGAATCCCATGTGGCCAACTGCGTGGTTCAAATCCTGGCCACAGTAGCTTGGGAAACATGCCAGGCACTTGTGCGTGTGTGCCCCAAATCCCAACAGGATGGGCAAGTGAAGAAGGGGTTGAAACATGGCTACACCCTACTGGGTGTGCTTTTGCTCTCTCCCTCTCTGTCTCTCACTGGTGAGTGCACATACCCTCTGGCAATTAAAAAGAAATGGGGAGGGAGAAAAAGAAAAAAATATTAGTCCTGATCATAGACGATAAATGTTTCTGCACAGCCTAAGGCCTTCAGTGCTGCAGAGCTGTTAGCCTGCTGGGGTGTAGGTGGCCTTTATGGCTTGGCTTGTGGGCATGGAGAAGCATCTGTAGGATACTGCATCGCAGTGCAGTTGTCACAAACATTAACAATTTGCTTCAAAATGCTGCTAATGGGTAGTTCTAAAACTTTAATAACTGAGATTAGAGATGTAATCAGAGGCCCAGGAGACCATGAATAGGCTATATTCATGCTTCCCCTTTCCACTTAGATTATAAAACCAGTGGTGGAAGGGCTCTTAGAGATTATTTCACAGATGAGCACAATGAGTTACAGACAAAGATAAGTAATTCACATTGGTCAAACAGCTAGTGACAGCCAAACCTGATTTGTATACAGGGTGGAACCTCTCCCTTAACCCAACCCCAAGATCTCTAGGTATTTCCTTGAGTACACTTCCTCACTTGCTGAATCCTAAACTCTTGCAGGGTAATGTGATATTTCACCTTTTATTATTATTTTATCATCCATCATAACCCCCTAGCAAAAATCTTTACAAATCAGACCTCAGATTGACAGGCTAACTGGTCTACCATTAGAACACATCCAACAAATAGCTGATCACCTACTTCATGATCTCACATCTCTTCCCACTTGCATCTCCATTTAAGCTCGTTAAGCCAAAACAGAATGATATAGTTATGAATTCCCCAAGGGTTAATCCAATAGGCCTATATAACAAGAGCAGAATGGATCCATTGATCTCATCTCCTAATTGGTGTCTACATGTTTGTTGACGTCTGAGTAAAGATCAGAAAATTAGTTGACATGTATGTGTTCACACCAGGGACAAAATCTCTGGTTGCCTTAATAGGGCTTTCTACTGCATAGAACCAGAGGCACAGCGATGTACAGGCTGAAACTGGCCTTTATACTAGTGTCTAATGCAAACCAGGGCTTATCTAGTCAATGACTTTGAAAGTCCAACAGAGGAATCATTTTCCACATGTGGGCCTAGTTTTTGTGATTATTAGTGGATAATACTTATGAGAGTCTTTCAGCACTGGTAAAGCAATGTGGCCAGTGTGTGCATAACACCCCTCCTTGGAGGATACTGAGGAAGCTACATCCTAACATCAAACTCTTCATTTCTTCTAGCCCATTTTTTCACTTGCCTAGAAAGCTCCCCTAATTTGCCCATGGTCTGCTGCTCACTTACTTCACTAACCCTTAGCACACCCAAGAAGTGGCTTTGCCTGTGTGAACACTGGCACATCCCAAGTGTCTGTCCCTATGTAGGTGTTCTCCCCAGTAAACCATGAGCTGCCTGGCAGCACCAAACCATCTTTGGCATCCACTGTGATTGCCCTTACTCCCCAACAAAAAGAACTCAGGGTGGAGACCTGAATGCAGTAGGCAGGCCATCCAGGGTCTGACTGCCACTGGCTATAGGAGCACTGACCCATTAACCCCTTCCTGGTCACTCACCTCATTCAGCTTGACCCAGTTGAAGGACTTCAGTGGGTGGGAAGGCTGGGGGACACGCTTTTTCCTGAGTGGGATGTCACTGCTGGGGAAGGGGTCTTGAGGGAGGGGCAGGTTCAAACCAAAGCAAGGGGGAGCGCCTGGGGGTGTGGGAGGCCCACCAGGTGGAAGGGGTGGTGGTGGTGGGGGCGGACAGCAGGCAAAGGGGAGAGGAGGTGGGGGTGGAGGCAGGTCGTTGGTTGTCATCGAGGAAGACAAGGTGAGCGGGCCCCCAGGGGGAGGTGGGGAAGACACAGGGCCAGTCTGTGAGGATACAGAAAAATGAAAGAACAAAGCCATCAGTGCTGATGCCGCCTGGGTCCCAGACTAGTATTCCTTTCCTTACTTCTACTTTCCATCTGTACAGATACCAAATCCTGCTCTCACTTCCCCATACATTTAGCCCTCATTTTCTCTCTCTGCATCCTAAACATTCAACACACACACAGCCACAAACGGACACATACACACAGTCAAACACATGCACAGACCTGGACAATCCAAGTCATATCATCACAATGCAATAGCAGGATTCATACATACAGTTGTGAAGGTTATTGACTGCACAGGGGTCCAACTATGAGGGAGGGGGGAAGACAAAAATCCCACCTGCACTCTTACTTTACCAGGAATGCTTTCTGGGACAGTGTTTTTGGAAGAAGGGGCAATATTTATTTTTCTTCTAATTAAAACAAAGGAACAACCAATATCGTTGCAAACGTCCCTTCTATCCTGACCTGAGGTCCCCCTCTCTCTTCTTTCTCATCCTGGGATCCTTGGTCTCTCCCCACACCTACTCTGCCTCCCCTGTCCTGAAGCCCAGGGCCTCTGCCATGTAAAGGGGAGGAGAATGTCACATACTGAGATTTCACTGAGTTGAGCTACCAGCTCTGCCACTTGTCCCCGGGCCTGGCGCAGCTCCTGGGACTCCCGGGCCAGCTTGTCCTTCATTTTGTTCAGTGTTCGCATCATCTCTTCCTTCTCCAGAGTCTTTGTCTCACATTCTCGTTCCTTCCTCTCTAGCCGGCTTACAAGCTCCATGTGTTCTGGGAAAGGAGTGGGTTAGGAGAGGGGATGGGAGAAAAGATTGTGAATATGTGTACCCTCCTCCATGGGACTAGAGATGAGGTACTGGGCTTAGACAACAGGCTTTGGCAGAATCCCTCACCTTTCCGGAATTTCTCCGCCTGGTCTCGCCACTGTTTCACCTCATTCTCATTGATGAGCCTGGTGGGGAGCAGAGAGGAGGGCCAGTGTGATTGTAGAGTGCTAGCTCACCACTTCCCAGAAGATATGGCATTTTTCTGCCCCCCTCTGTTCTCTCTGTTCAGGTTGGTTCCCTGATCCCTGTCTGTCCAACTACGTCAAGGAGGCTGGGAGTTTGATTTCCCAGATGTCTCTCCTTGTCCTTGTCTAGTTCTCATTTCATCTGTGTGGACCAAGAGAGTTGAAAGGACCCTTATTTACCTTGTAATCCACCTTTCATGAAATAGTGGAAGTTACTGAGTCTCAGACACCAGAGATAGGGATGAGAGCTAACTAATGGTAGAACCAAGATTGACTCTCAGGCTTCACTCAGTTGAATAATGATTTGTGTCCCTTTGCAAAAATAGGTTTTTGCATCTGAGAGAGATTAAAATATTGGCCCTACCATAGTCCAAGCTTCCAAAGACCAATGTGTAAGAATAAGAGAAATTGCCCAACCCCAATAATACAGAATGAGTGTGTTAAGGGTAAAAGAGGACCTATCTCAAATATAGGAGGGCCTCACTGAGGCCAAACTCTTGTAACAGGGTCTTAAAATTAATCTTTCACCTATTACAGATACCAAGGCATAAGAGAGATGGCATCCCAAAGAGAGATCCTAATCATAATTTCCTTCATACATTTGAAAATGTGGAAGAGTTAGATCATGACACTTTTCCTCTTCAATGAGATCAAGGATATAAAGAGAGGGTGAATATAAAGGTCAGGGAGTATTTAGTGAAGATATTTCTTTGTTGAGAGCTATTGCTATAGTTCCCAAGGATACTATTTCCCTTATCACCATCTAGGGAAGGGCCCACTTTAAAAGCTTTAACCCATGTTCTGTTCCTCGAAGTTTGGAGTGACAAAGGATAAAAATGGTCCAATGGGGCCAGGAAAATCCAGATGATAAAACAAGTTTGACCAAGAGAGCACAGCCATCCAAGAACTTGTTTCCATTCCTAATATTTGTTGCCAAGAGCGATGACATGAGGGCTGCCCTTGGGACAGGTGTAAGCCTCATGGAGGAAATGGGATGACGCTATTAAAAGTCCACAAGGGTTCACCTGGGAGAAAATTGGGAACATCAGTACCACAAGTCTAGCTGTACTTCACTACCAGTGAACTAGGGGCTTATAGAAGGGCTGAAAGCAGCCAGCCAGCCAGTTGGGAAAAAATCTTGCATGGAGAGTGTGCTGGGTTTTATATTGAGAGGCAAGTTCCTTAAGAAGGAACTTCTGAAGGTCCCAGAAACACACTGATGTCTTTACCCATGTGCCACGTCTGGAGAACAGATAGACTATTTACTGAGTTACCTGATCAATTAAGATATTTTCCTTTTTTCCTTCCTGCCCCGAGGCTGCCTCTGGAAGGGGTCAGAAACTGGTCAGCTAGTGGACACGGGGAGTGGGAGATAGAAGGGGTTAGAGGAGAAAGAAAACAGAGGAAGAAAGCCAACCATAACACACAAACACACATATGCACTCTTCTCAGCCTCCCAGCCCCAGCCAGGAGAGGAAGGAGATTAAGGCTAAATCAGGTGACCTGAAAGTTAAGATACTAGATCCCACATGGCCAACTTTGTGGTTCGGGTCCTGAACTTGATGGCTTAAAAATCACATGAGTGCTTGCACATGCATATCCAAAATCCCAAGAGGAGACTGGAGAAGGGATTGTGATGCTAGAGAACGTCACATCACATTGGCCCAGAGCAGCCACATCCCCTCTAGGGGATGATTGCTCACTTTGCATCTCTCTTTCATGCATGTGACCTATAGCAAAACTTTTAAAAAAGAAAAAGGCTAAATCAAGTTGCAGATTTGAGACTGTATTGCAAGTTAAAGTGATCATAAGACTTCTATTGCTCCTGAAAGAGCAAAAACTTCATTGGACCAAAGAGATTCATGCTCTGGTAGTGGAAAATGTTCCCCCAAATAGTGTAAAGAATTAGTAGAAAATAAAATTAAAGTTGCCTTTTGATTACTTTCCTAGTTGCACTTGTCTAACGTACCACTTCGGATTTTAACTGCATCAGTGGCTGACTGTTTGTGCAAATGAAAATAGTAGCAAGAACAGTTCAAAAATAATTTTCTACTTGGCTTTGGAATGCAATATAATGAATCATTGAGAACCAATTTATCTCCTCCAGGGAAATTGGCTCAGACTCACACTGAGAGTTAAGTAGAAGTTTAAAATTAAAAATCATTGTGTTAATGTAAGGTCTTATTATTAATTGAAATAAATTTACATTTGTTTCTCTGTGTTTCTCCATATCCAGGGTCAGTAAAAGATGGTAAGCCAGAAGGCCTTAGGCTCTGACAACCTCATCCAAGAGCCTTGTGGTCAAATCACCATAACTCTATGTCAGTGGTTGGCAAACTTTCCAATGTTTCAGGTTTTATGCACCATGTAGAGTCTTTATCACATATTCTTATGTATGTGTACATGTGTGTATACTTTTAATGTAAAAACTATTCTTAGCTCAGGGGCCATAAAAAAAAAAACAAGCTGAAAGACTGTATTTAGCTCATGCACTATAATTTGCTGGCAGCTTTATCTAAATGTGCTTAAATTCTTCCTCTATCACCTACGGAGTGCATCACTGATAGTTGAGTACATATTCCACACACTGATGTTGTCCAACATGGTAATCAGTAGTCACATGTCAAGTACTCAATAGCCACACTGGCTACCATACTGGACAGTACTGACGTGGAGCATTTCCATGAGTCAGAGAGTTCTACCAGACAATGCTGCTCAACTCCCATTTAGGGTTGTCTGTGTTGAAAAAGGAATTAAGATTTCACTGGTGAGACCCAGAGTAGGAGAGCTATGGAGAAGGTGTAGGAAGACAGGGAGAAGACTAGCCACTGCTTACATGTTGACGATATTCTTGACATTGAAGTTTTCCAATGGAGCCAGGTCAGGGTCCACTCCCCGCTCATCCTGGAGAACAATCTGTTGAAGGATGCGGTCCAAGAGCTGCCACTGCTGGAAGTAGCCACCATTACGCTTGTCTGAGGGATGACAGGCATCATATTGTTACTGAGCCTTGCCCTAGGGTCATTGGGCTTAGGCTGGTGAAACATGACCTTCCCTGCCCATGGTAAGCTCCCAGTCTGAGGGAAGAGACAATGCCATTGCTGATAATGGGGACTCACAAGTCCAGTTATTTCTTAATTATATGAAATTGACCTTCTATGGCTGTGTCAACCCTCCCAACATATTTCTCCCCTCCCTGTAATGCTTCCTGGCTCCCATTCTTTCCTATTTGGACCCTGTGCATACTGTGTCCCAGGAATGCAAATTGCTTTTTATATTATCTATAAAAAGCACCTGTTCCAAAATATTACATGCTGAATAATGAAGTCTCTGGGGAAATTTAAAAAAATAATAATGTTAGGTTATCTATGCTATTGCTCTAGAGAGAAAGTTGAATGGAAACTGATTACAGGTGTGCACTGAGAGTCAAAATGGGTTAGAGAAGTGGTTAATGGAATCCAGGAAGATTTCTTGGTGGAGGTGACCTTCAACTAATAAGGCAAAAACTTCATCAGGCCAGCGAGATATTCATGCTCTGGTAGTGGAAAATATTCCCCACTAAATAGTGTAAAGAATTAGTAGAACATAAAATAAGAAGGTGAAAGCATTGTGCATTACTCCTGATCTCGCGGGTCCCACTATCATCCCCTACAATCATAGTGGACTTCTTTTACATGATAGCCACAAGTCCTTCTTTCTAGGGTCTTGATTCCAGCACTGTGTCTCTAATGACCACCAAGGAAAGTCAACCAGTGCAATTCTGACATCAAAGTCAAACCAAGATGTCTACAAGGTGGACAATCATGTCTGCAAAACCCCATTTGAAGGGCAGCCTGGAGGGACCCGTTTACATCACTCAAACACAGGAATCCCTGACAGCAGAAGAATTCCAGTCTCGCAGGGCCCTCTGAGTCTTCCAGGAAGACCTTTTGGGTTGAGTTTTGGAAAACTCAAATAGTGTAATATTTTCCTGGTTTAAGTCACTGTGTCAATCTTTCTACCATTCCACCAACATGTGCACTGCAAAGAGGCCTAGTTTTCCATTTACCTCACCCAGGAAAACTAGGTCACTGGCTCACAGAAGTAGACAATGTTTTACCTAAATTATGAAGAGATGAAATGCCTTCCATCTGTAAAGAACTCAACTCAGTGTCAGGTTCATTCGCTATAAAATGGAGATAACAAATCACGCTCTCCAGGTCATTCTGAGATTGAGAGACAATGTGCTAGAGAACGTCACATCACGGGCGTGGTGGCGCCCGCCCTATGAGAACGTCACATCACATTGGCCCAGAGCAGCCACATAATAGATTGTAGCTCTTGTCGCCATCACCACAGCCTCCAACACCACTATTGCCACCACTAAAGAGCATCTAGCTAGATTATGGTGGGCCACACTAGTTTTCAAAATACAGAACTACCTTTTGTGATGAGTCTAAGTGCCAAGTGGTACAGTTCAAATACACTCTGAGTTGCATTCTGGGGTGACTTGGTAATGGTGTGAGACTTAGTCAATCATTAGCCACACCTGAATCTTAGGTATTTAGCAGTCCGTTCCACAAAATGCTGTTATTTGGCACTTGTGGATAAAAGCAGGGGCAAGGGTGTCAGGGTCGGAGCTAGAAAAGACTAGAAGGTGGAACTGATAAAAACCTTCCAAAAACAGGCATGCTCATTCCATGTCTGGGCTGTTTCCCAATGCAGAAAACTTCTTACACTCTCCAACAAGACAACTCACTCCTCCATCATGAGCTGACAACTAAGAGTTGTTAGATTTGGCAATGATCAAGTTAATGCTGTTGGACTGAGATGTTACAGTTGCTCAAGGCCAAATCACTAGTTCTTTCCCTGGGTGACAGTGAGAGTCCAGACCCCAAGGAGGGAGGGAAGGGTAGGAGCCCAAGTCATGGGACCTGGCTTTCAGAAGGTGAGTCCAGAGTGAGACACAGACTCACCAGTCCTGAGAGATTCCCAAGCCTTGACTCTACCTACCTGAACCAGAGCTCAGGCCCAGCTGAGGGAAGCAGTAAGTGCAGGGTACTCACAGGGCATCTGCAGACAGTGATGGAGGACAGAGAGCAGGTAGGGGTAGGCCTCGGTGTGCTTCAGCTTTTTATGGATCAGATCAAACATCTGGGAAGCACTCTTGGTATCAATGTGGACCTGGGAGGGCACATAAATGGGGAAGGAAAGGGGACAGAGGATGTGAATAAGAAAAAGTAGACCCTGTTTCCATCAACTGAGCCCCTTCTCCCATGAGAGCTCTTCTTCCCCTGCCTCTGGCTTAAAAAGAGAGAGAAAAAAGGAAGAGGGAGCTATGTCAATTACATAAACTACAGTTTCTCTGCCTCAGCATTATGAACATCTCAGACCAGGTAATTCCTTGTGGTGGGGGATGTCCTGTGCATTGTAGAATGGTTAGCAGCATCTCAAGCCTTTGCTGTGGTGGCACCTCTTCATCCAGCTATGACTACTAAAAATGCCTCCAGACTTTGCAAACATCCCCATGCGGAAGGAGAGTAAAATCACTCCTGGTTGGAAATTTCTGATTCAAACTAAAGGAAGCAGGTCACAGACATGTAAAGTGGTATGTGGCATGGGGCATAGGTACACCACCTTATTTCGAATCCCAGACCTGCTCTTTCATTGTGTGACAAAAGGCAAGCTGCTTATCTTCTCTAACCCATTTCTTTATCTACAAATCCAGGGCTTTTATGAAAACATAATGGGGGGAACCAGCAGTTAGCGTAATGGGTATGTCACTAGACTCCCACGTGGTCGACCGCAGTTCACGTCCTGGACCCGGTGGCTTAAAACTCACGCTGGGCACGTGTGCGTGCGTGCCCAAGATCCTGAGAGGAGAATGGAGGAAAAGGGATTGTGGCGTGACCATCCCCCCTGGGGGGTGATTTCTCGCTTTCTGTCTCTATGTCTCTCTCTGTTTGGCGAGCGCACATGCCCTATAGCGAAAATCTCTCAAAAAAAAAAAAAAAAACATAATGGGATGATGCTTGGTGACTGTGAAGTATTATCCAAAAGTAGGTTTCTATTTGGATAAGGATTTTATAATACAATATTTTAGCAGCTGAGTTGTGTGTTTCCAAGGTTGCTAAGGCTAAACTGAAGGCACAATTAAGTTTGAAAAGCATTGTCTGGAAGGGATGGAGAGAGGTGAGTTGGGAAATTGGTGAAAAGCAGGGGGAAGTGACCAGCAGAGGTATTTGAGACTAATCTGTATAAGATCTGGCTCTCTCTCTTCTGGGTGTGTCCATTTCCTCTACAGCAGATGCTCCACCAAGTGAGGCCCACCACAGCCAGCACACTATTGGGGCTCCAGAAATAGGACGTGGCAGTTAATTTTAGTGTCAACTGCACTCAATTAAGGGATATCCAGGTAGCTGGTAAGCCCTTATTTCTGGGCATGTCTATGAGGATGTTTCAGGGAAAGACTGGTATTTGATCAGTGGAGTGAGTAGGGAGGATCTGCCCTCACCCAGTGTGGGTGGGTACCATCCAATCTGCTGAGGACCTGGATAGAAATAAGAAGGCAAAGGAAAAGTGAATTCGCTCTCTCTTTTTTCTGGAGCTCGGCACTCTTTTTCTCTTGTCCTTGGATATCAGAATTCCAGGTTCTACAGTCTTTGAACTCTGGAATTTGCACCAGCAGAGCCCCAACAGGCCTCTGCCTCAGACTGAGAGTCACAAACAACATCAGTCTGCTGGTTCTCAAACTTCGGACTTGGACTAAGCCACATCCCTAGCTCCCCAAGCTGGTTCTCCAACTTGCAGATGGCCTACTGTGAGACTCTTCAGCCTTCATAATCAGGAGAGCCAATTCCCCTAGTAAATGCCTTTTCATATATCTCTCTATGTATCTATATATATCTTAATAGTTCTGTTTTTCTTTTTTTTTTTTTTTGGAGAGGTTTTCGCTATAGGGCGCATGCGCTCGCCAGACAGACAGAGACAGAGAGACAGAAAGCGAGAAATCACCCCCCAGAGGGGATGGTCATGCTGCAATCCCTTCTCCTCCATTCTCCTCTCGGGATCTTGGGCATGTACGCACATGTGCCCGGCGTGAGTTTTAGGCCACCGGGTCTGGGACGCGAACCACGGTCGACTACGTGGGAGTCCAGCAACATAGCCATTACACTAACTGCTGGTTCCCAATAGTTCTGTTTTTCTGAAGAAACGTGACTAATACACAGGATGTGGTCATGGGAGTTCCCACTAAGGAGCCCGGCCAGCACTGGTCCTATCATCACACAGGGCCTGGAGAAGTGGTCATAAGGCCACCTGGACCCACTGCCATTGTCCCACCCCACAGGCTCCTCACCATGTCAAACCTCCTGGCTAGCTCCAGATCATCCTCATTACGGACCATCTCGAAGAAGTCCAGATGTCTAGATAGGATGAGAGGATGAAGAAAGTAGATGTTACAGCCAGGACATCCCAGGTTGAGTGTTATAACCCCTTCAAGCCCCCACTGGCTAAATTTGAAAGTTTCATTTAAGTGAGGCCATGGCAAAAACAGAAAAAGGCCAGCTATCTATAGGCCAACACTCCCGTTTGTTTATAGAATACCATAACCCTCTTTCAGGAGGGCCAACACAGGGTCCTGTACTCTTTGATCAGAGTTTCTCTACTTGGACATTACTGATGCTTTGAGCTCAGGCATCCACGGTTGTAGGAGAATGATCTGTGAGTTGTTGGATGTCTCCTAGGGGATGAAATTACCCTCAGTCAAGGACCACTGTCCCTCTCTTCCCCAGTGTTCTCTTATTGTCCCAAGGCAGTCCTCAAAGCTCAAAGCTCAATTGTCCCCTCACTTTCTCCCCACAAATACCCACTCAACTACTCTATCTTGAAAGGATTCTTCCTCTCTCCCTTAAAGCCCAGTGTAGTAAAACAGCCTGTACTAATGGGACAGAGTCCAAAGTGGCTCACTGGTAACACATGGGAATTTTTTTAAAGATTTTGTCATAGGGCATGTGTGCTCACCAGAGAGAGAGAGAGAGACAGTGAGGGAGAAAGTGAGAAATCACCCCCCAGGGGGGATGGCTACAATACAATCCTATCTCTCCATTCTCCTCCTGGGATTTTGGGCATGCATACACCCACACCTGGCATGATTTTCAAGCTTCCAGGTCTGGGACTCAAACATGATCACATGATTGGCCACGTGGGATCCCAGTACCTTAACCACTAGGACACCTGCTGGGCCCAACACATAGGAATTTAATTGCCCTTTGACCAACAAGAACTTTATAGTGTCTATTTTAGATGAGTATTTCTTTGTGGAGTACGCTGAAGAATGTTTAGCATTACTGGCCCCCACCAACAAGTTTAAAAATCAGAGACCATTCATGACCCCATATTTACAAATGCCTCTAGGGGGCAGTACTGCCATGTTCAAGGACTGTCAGGTTTACCTGTCTACAACATCAGAGATGAGACAAGCAGGTCAACCAAGAGGACAGGTAGGGACACAACTTCCCCTCACAGAGCTGACTCTGAATCTATGCTGGGTATGGCTGGTAATCTCCAGAGGGAGGACCAGCCCTTCACAAAGGTCCTGACCACACTGTCCCCACAGGCTTGCAGTGGCAATGGGTAGCTTGGGCCTTACTTGTCCAGGATAGCATTCTCGTGTTGCCGGAGTTTGTCGATCACAGGCTGTATCCCCAGCATCAGGAACTCATACCGCAGATGTAGGCGGAACTCCAGATTGTCCTGAGTGTCACCAAGGGAGGACCAGATTCACTGGTTGCTCTCAACTTCCGCAAAAGTTCCCAGTAGACCCCTCATAACCACCCCAGCCATAGTCTCAACACACCTGCTGCAAACTCACCTGGAGGCGCTTCAAGTCCTAGAGTTCCAAGAAAGGGCAGGAGACATCCTTGACCTTGTTATTTCATTAAAGCAAGCCCACTGCCCAGCTCTTTTACATCTCCTGCCTCACTTCCTTCAGGCCTCTTACCCATTTTCTCTGGGCCTTTAGCATCAATGATATAGAGTGATGTAGAGTGGTATACAGCATAAGCTTTGAAATCAGATCTCAGTTCACATCCCTGCTCTGCCATTTCCTAATTTTAATGACCTTTATGGCCTGATGAAGTGCGATTACCAGTGAATCAGAATAGGTGCCAGCCTTAAGTAGCTGGTGCCAAGGGAGATAACATCAGCATTATTACTAGGATCATCCCCCCAGCCCACCACAGCTAACCCAAATCATCAAGACTTTATGTAAAAAAGAAAAAAGAAATATGCAGGCAGAAAAATGAGATACCCATTAAATTGCCCCTTTTGTCCTTCAAGTAGACCTTGACTGAGGCATCTTATTTGACCTCAAATTTGAGGCATTCCCCTGCTCTTCAAGCTCTTCTAATTCTGTTGTCATTATGGTTTGAGAATCCCATTCTGACTCCAAAGAAGGGAAACCTGACAGCAGGTGCTAGAAGAGTATGATCAACCAGGAAACCAGATCTCTAAAAAGCTCTAGGAAGAAGGTTCTAAAATTGCCTTCTTCCCATAATGTTCACCCACCACCCAGAGCCATTATCAGCAAGCCTCACTCTGAGATTTTTCATAACACATATAATGCATGATACTACCTACATAGAAAACTCCCATGAGCCCTTCCAGGTTTAGATCAAGTCAAAAAGAACTTTGGGGGAAACAAAGCCAGAACCAGTCCTTACTAAAACCTTGAAGGGTCACAGATAAGACAGACTGTGGGTTACATGCAGCTGAAGACTGGCTGACATGGTGCCATGCTCATGACACAAAGGTTCGTGGCATACTATTTTTTCTTAGCCCCACATGAAGGAGGCACAAGGTATAAAGACAATCTGAAGATAATGATGGTAGGAACAGCCACACTGAGATGCCTTGGCCATTTCCCTCTGCCACTTCCCCAGGAAGCACCTGTACTCACATGCTTTATCCAAGTCCAGAAAGTCAGGGAACAACAAGGGCAAGAAGGGGCCTCACCTCTCCAGCTCCAGCATTGAGGACAGCGTTGATAAAGGACATGATGGCTGTTTTCAGATTCACTTCATCCCGGTACCGGCCCAAGCTTCGGTCAAGTTCATTCAACAGAGTCTGGATGGAAAGGCAGGACAGAGGAGAGGAGAGCTCAGGATCCTATAAGGTAGCCTCTGGGCCTTTGCTCCTGCTATTGCAACTGCCTAGAATGTCCCATCCATTCTTCTATCTTTGTTTGTTTTTTCTCTTTTTTTTGAGAGAGAGTTTTGCTATAGGGTGCATGTACTTGCCAGAGAGACAAAGAGACAGAAAGTGAGAATTCACCCTCTAGAGAGGATGGCCATGCCTCAACCCCTTCTCCCCTATTCCCTCTCAGGATTTTGGGCACACACATACATCCGCCTGGTGTTAGTTTTAAGCTGCCAGGTCCGGGATTCAAACCACGGTCAACTGCATAGGAGTCCAGCAATGTAACCATTACACTGACTGTTGATTCCCCCTATCTATTCTCCCTACCGAATTGAGCCCATCCAATCCGGACTGCCCTACCCTGCACTTCCACCACAGTCTAGAAGTGTCCTTTGGCTCTCCACACCCCAGCCTCAGTCATGCCTTACCTCCTCTCTACTCAGCCTTAGGGGTTCATGCTGTTGGGCAATGCTACAGTGCTACTTTACCACTGTGCCTCAGCAGTTTACAGCTTACGCGTATTTCCTACTCAACTCTTTGACAACACAGACACTGCTTTTTATCCCCTTTGTATCTTCTGCAAAGAATTAGGGACCACTTTCCATATAGAGTAGGTACTCAAAAATGTGTGATTACAGAATAAACAAGTAGCCGATACTGGCACATAAACCACAGCGCTTGCACCATCAGTTCAGGCACTGCGCTAAGACATTTCATACATATTATCCATCTCATCAGCATTTTCCTGGGCAGGTCAGGGAGAACAAACAGGCCTGAGCTCTCAGGGCTGTCCTAGTGCCCCACATTAGGGCTGGTCCAGCAAAGGGTCTAAAAATCTCGATACTAACAATTGCATTCAATTCAACAATCCTTGACTGATCTTTTACCATGAGCCAGTCACTGGGCCCCATGATGTAGAGCCACAGAAATGAAGCAAACCAATATCCTGGCCTCCAGGGACAGTGGCTAGTAAGGAGGACAAGTCTGTTTGCCCAGACAAATCCCTATCTCTAAAGACCCCTGGGGTCTTTTTATGTCAGCCTCTGGGCCTCAGTTCTCTGTCACCTTCCACAACAGGTGTTTAACTCACATGACCTCCCCTTTTTGTTCAATTCCTGCTATAGGAACCCTCAGTCCCTCAACCACAGCATGTGACCTCCTGCCCCACCCTGCTGGAACCTCCACGACGGCAAGGCTCCCCACCTGGAAGCGTGTCCGTTCTGCCGCATACACCTGGTAGTGTAGCATGGCCTGCAGCACCTTCTTGTGGCCACCAGGCACGAGGCACACGGCGCCCAAGATCTCCAGCACTGCCACCTTGGTCTTGCTGTTCTCCGTGCGCAGGCTTTGTGCAATAGTGCTGATGGCCTCCGGCTGGGCCAGCACATGCGCCCGCCCCTGGGAGTTGTTCATCAGCGCCTTGATGCAGCCAATGAGGGAAGTGTGAATGCGGCTCTCACAGGTGGCGTGGTCCATGCTCCGGAGGAAATTCAGCAGACAGGTCAAGCCCTCCAGCTCGATGAAGCGGGTCACAAACCTAACAGCCAGAGTCATTAGCAAAACATGTGTCCTGCACTTGCATATTATTCCCTGTGCACTCTGCAAATGGTTACCCTATTACCCGTATACCACCATGCGCCTCGTCCCATCTGCAGTGGCGCCGCTTGGTTCATTACAGTTTATCTAAAGCAGTGAAATCCTATCATCCCCCAGAAGACTGATATCCTATTTGCATTTTAAATACTGTGCATTTGCATATCATTGACTGTCACCATAGCTAAAATGGTATCTGTGTGAAAGAGATGATTATGATAATTATTACAGTTGTTAAACCTGAAGACTCAGCTCCAGTGACGATGAGAATTAGGAAAAAAAAGAATCGGATAACAAGGAGAACTTCCAGAGAGGGAGGCCAGTCAGAATCGGTGAGTCAAAGGACCAAGTTAAAGAAACTTCATTTCAAGGGATCCTTAAGAAAATGGCTATTTCGAATGTTAGGAAAGAACGTTAAAACCTATTTAGTTCAGGGTTCTTCACATGAAGTCTGCGTTCCGAAAAAGGGTCTTCGGATAGTATTCAGAAATTCAAGGATTCAGAGGGGGAAAGAAAATTACATACTTATTTTTGGTCATTTCTAACTGAAATATAGCATTTCCTTCAATGATGAATGTAGGCAATAAATGACAGTAGCATTAGCACAATCTGTGACTTTGTCACCCAAAGAAATTACAGCTATTTCCATATCAAATTACAGTTGTTGCAGGTATCTCAAGATACCATTTATACTCATCAGTACTTCAAGATGATGGTGGTATCAGACCTGCTGCCAGCTTGTACTGTTGAAGGCATCAAGGAGCACGTTTATTGCTGTCTCATGCATTTTTTATACTTGGTAGCTGTATTTGAATTCAATTCATTTATTTTTTTAATGTTGCATATTTTATCTACTTTATTATTTTAAAACATCATTTCTGAGAGGTCTATGCTTTCATCTGGATGCCAGACATCCACGACACACATACACACACAGGGAAGGTTTGGAATCCTTGATTCAGTACAAGTAGTGATTTGAGAAAATGGTCATAAATTGACCTGAGGGGCCCTCTGTATACAATTGAGATATTTTCCTGTGTATTTGTGTGTACTCTGTATTGCTATACAAACATGCCTGAAACAAAAGGAGGAATATGCTCTCAAATTAACCATCAGCATTATTTATTTTTTTCCAGAGAGATTTTTGCTACAGGGCAAGAGTGCTCACTAGAGAGACAAAGAAAGACAGGAACAGAAAACAAGTTATTAGCCCCTGGTGGGGGATGGTCACACTGCAATCTCTTCTCTCCCACTCTCCTCTCAGGTTTTTGGGCATACATACACATGCACCTGGCATGAGTCTCAAGCTTCCAGGCCCAGGACTTGAACCAGTAAAGTAACCATTACACCATCTGCTAATCCAACAATCAGTAGTTTTTATTTTGGAGAGGTTTTTTGCTATAGGGTCCATGTGCTTGCCAGAAAGACAGAGACAGAGACAGAAAGCGAGAAATCACCCCCCATGGGGAATGGCCACGCCTCAATCCCTTCTCCTTCATTCTTCTCTTGGGATCTTGGGCATGCACGCACACACGCCTGGCGTGAGTTTAAGCCACTGGGTCTGGGACTCTATCTACGGTTGACTACATGGGAGTCCAGCAACATAGCCATTACGCCATCTGCTGGTTCCAACAATCAGTATGTTTTAAAATTTGCTATCAGGCATGTGTGCTCACCAGAGAAAGACAGAAAGAGAAAGAGAGAGATGGGGAAAGTGAGAAAGCACCCCACACTGGGGGATGGTCACATAGTAATCCCTTTTCCTCCATTCTCCTCTTGCGACTTTGGGCATGCAAACATATGCTCCCCATGTGTTTTTCAAGCTGACCGGACTAGGAGTCAAAGCATGCAGTAGGCCATGTGGGATCCAGCTGCCTTAACCACCATGCCACTGGCTGGCCCAACAATTGGTATTTTTCTTTTTTTAACCTTTTTCTATTACATGCCTGTCTGTATTCCACAAAATTTTCATAATGATTACGTATAACTTTTGAAATCACAGCTTCGAGAAAGGAAATTAAAATAAACTGAGGTGAGAGACGAATGTGGCACTTCCTCCAGCCCCTTTATATCCTGACCACCTTATCTTTACCTGCGGCTTCTTCCCATCCAGAACCCTGCCCTTACCAGAGCAGTAAGTGGGGATTAAGATGCTCTCATTATCCTTGAGCCCCAACCCAGACACATACACACTCACATACACACTCACACACATGCTCTCATTATCCTTAAGGCTCAGCCCAGACACACACACACACTCACACGCACACACACACACACACACACACACACACACACACAGTAGCAGCAGTGGCAGCTAATGGGTGGCTGGTGTCACAAATGTCTAAAATCTCTGGGGAAAGAAAGAAGGCCCAATTGTAGTAGTGTTTGTAGTGTTTGTAGTGTTTGACCAATTCCATGATATAAATAGTCCAAGCACACCCAATTTCAAGCTATCACTGTGACATCACTGAGCATGGAGCTGGGAAGAGAGGCATTAGATAGTGTTTCCACCCTGCATATACCAAGGGCATGAACTTGGAAGAATAGACAATATTAACATGTAATACAATATTAGGTAATTAGAGAGTGATGGATTTCAAGTATTTGTTACCTTTGCTTTGATATAATTTATTTAATCTTATATCCACAGAATTTAAATTTTAATCATAGCCATATTTAACAGCTGGCTTATGAAACTGTGGAAAATTTAAGCCAGCTCTTGCCAGCTGGGGGAAGGCAGTTACAGCACACCACTAGGAAGATCCACTAAGAAGCCCGGTGGCTCTAGGCTCCTCTCTGTACCCACACACTGGCCAGGGAAGTGGCAAGGAGTCCTCCTATGGCTTCGGACATCCATCCCCTCTTCCTTACCTGCATCACTTCCATTCTAGATGAGAAACCTCATCCACAGACATTTCATCTCCCCCTAGTGGTTGGCACATTTCTCAATCCACATCCACCTCTTTCCTTACTCTGCCCCCTCAACCTCAGAAAGCTCTTTCTTATACACCTCATTCTCATTCTCCAGCCACTCGCCTGTTCTAGTCTCTCCACTCCTACCTCCGACCTAAAAAGGGAGCCAAGCAGAGGCATGGCACAGTGACAATGCCACATCCTGCAATGCTGACCCACACGGGAAGGTCTCAGGTTCACATCCAGAGACAAGGAGAGACAGGAAGTGAAGAAGGGGTGAGTCACCTCATGGGCTGTGTACGGAGAGCTGTCTTCAGGTCTTCCACGACTTGATTCCTCATCTCCGTCTCCTCCTCATCAAACGCATACAAACTCTGCATCTGCAGGGCCGGCAGGTAGAGGGGTGGAGGTCATGCTGGGCTGCTTGTCTCCCAGCTGCCTGCACCCCCAGCCCAGGTGTGACTTCAGATCTGGAAGATTGAGACCTCAGGGAAAGGTTTACTAAGATAGTCAGACTCCAAAAAGACCCACATTCTACTCTTAATGTGGGAAATGAGAATACTGGCCCAGCCTATCTGCCAAGCCGATTGGGGTGTCCAGATGGGTTAATAAATGGTCAAATGGTTTGGGAAACTCTAAAATTATACAGAGAGGGGTAGATTGTAATAATATTTCAGGAATAACCGAAAAGTTGCTAAGCCCCAGTGAATGGGGCATTGAGAGACAGAAAAAGGCAGCTTGGTTGGGGGACTACCTTCCCCTACAGCCTTTCCAGGAGGGGCAGGGCCAGAGAGGAGCAGCCACTCACCGCAGCCATGGAGTTGATGCGGTCAATGTAATAATCAGGCCAGCTGGTTGCCAGCTTGTTGGGGTCCTCCTGCTCCTGGAAGAAAAAGAACCAAGTGGCCTGAGATCCTGAGCTTCACTGGATGTCAGTAGTTCACTTCCCAGCCCTGCCCACATTGGGTAACTTGGAGAAATTAACAAAATCTCCCCCATCTTCCATTTCTTCCTGGGTAATATGCAAATAATGACTGTGGACTCTCCTCATCAGCCAGTGACATGAAGAGCAACCGTGCAGGTGTATACACTTTCCATGAACATACACAACTTTACACAATTCTTTTCTCCTGTTAGATTTGTTCTGCCTATATTTAACAAAATATGATTGTTAAATAGAATACGAATTTGTGCTTGTATTTTTTACAACTTTTTCCAATTTTATTTTTCTTTTAATATTAAGTCATTGGAAAAGTCACGATGTATTTTTATACTTTTTCAGTGCAAAAATGTATCGTGACTTTTCCAATGCCCTACAATTATTCTCATTGTATTTATAGAAATATTGGTCAATGGCAGTCAGGGAACTTAAAGGCATGGTTTTTTTTTTGTCAGATTTGAGAACACTGGTATAAAACCTTTGGCACAGTTCCTGGAACATAGTAGGTGCTATATAAAATACTAGGTTGTCAGGAAAGTCAGGATGTGTTTTTTTTATGCAAAAATGTGTCATAACTTTGCCAATGACCCAACAGTAACTTTATAAAATGTTTCTCCAGGCCCAGGGTTTGGGGAAACCCAGGAGTCCCTTACAGGCCTGTGATTTCATTACTGTCAAACTTTCCTGAATGATAGGTATGTGCAGCTGAGAGGCAGAGCCCAGATCAGAAGACCTTAGGCCCAGCCATCAGTCTCTAAAAGAGGCTCACCTCTTGGTGGAAGTTATTTAAATGTTAATGTTGATTAAAAATCCAGGCAGGCCAGTCCCATAGCTCAGCAGTTAAGAGTCAGATCCCACATTGTCAACCCTGGCACCAGTGGCTTGAACAAAATGCACCAGTTACGTGTGCACGCTTGCCCTAAATCTTGATGGGATGGAGAAATGGAAAAGAGAATGTGGCATGATCATGGCACTCTGGGGGATATTTTCTCCCTCTCCATCTATCTCTCTCTGGCAATTAAAAAAAAAAGACAAAGAAAAAAAATCTAACTTTCTCCAGCCAAAGGGAACTTTTTCTGGGCAGGACACATGCCCTGCTTATTCCCATCCTTGTGGGCTCCCCTCCTCTGCTTCCAATCTCCTGCTCCCAAATGGGTGTAAAAACTTACTACCCAGGACCTCCCCAACCTTTCTGTCAGATGCCTCGTCCCTCCACTTGAGCATCACTAATTTGTTTCATAAAACCCAATTTTTAGACCAGTGAGAAAACTACCTTGTGCAGGTTTTTCTGACTTCGTGTGGCTAAACATGTTCATGTCTTTATGACTGAAGACCGAACAGTCTGTTTTCTAACATGGGGTGGAGACTCACACCCCAGAGCAATTGTATCCACAAACAAATACTTTCCTGCTCTTGCAGGTTCATCATTCACCCATTCCGTGTGCATTTAGCAAGCATCTACTCAATACCAATCCCTGCACTGAGCCCGGAAAGGATTGAGTAAAAAGTCATGGTCTCTGCCCTTGACATGATAGTCCAGTGCCAGAGAAAGGTGGGAGACACGAGAAGCAGTAGACTGGAGTAGGAGGGTCATCTAACACACAGTGGTCCAGAGGACTGGTTTACATTATTAAAGATTAGTAAGGCTAGGAGGGGTGGGGTGGGTGTTAGAGACAGAGAAAGGGGTATGGGGGAGGGAAGAGGGATGTAAAAGTGTCTGGGGGAAATGACATACAATTTACTTTGGAAGACAGTAGAAATGCCCTTATATTTGAATAACTCTTCATTTTACTGTACGAGAGATCAACCCAAGGGAACTCCACAGTAAATCCATTTGAAAAGTGGAGAATCATGTGATATGATTAGTTACTTTCTTACCCCCCTCCTTTCTTCCCTTTCTCTTTTCCTTTTTTCCATGACTTGAGCTTTTTTAAGAACTGCTTTTCTCACAGTGAGATTCATAGACATAAGACGTCATATTCTGCAGGTGCTTAATAAAGGCACAATAAGCATATTGGACCATGGCTCACAGTGTGTAGGCCATGCATCTTGTCACGGGCTGTCAGACTCCAGCACTTTTCTCCCCAGTAGCCCTGGGTTCTAATGACAGTGCAGACCCTGCCACCACTAGCTGGGAACTTGGGTGAGTCCAGGCCTCCCCAGACCTTCCTTGCCTCATGTGTGGAGTAAGGACTAGATCAGACTGTTCCTCTGCTTCCTGTGAACAACGAAATAGTGTATGAGTCTATTTTTTCAGTCGTAGAGGGTCAGTCTGGCTCAGTATGAAGTTGTGGGGATGAGACAAATGTCCTGACTGGGAAGAGCAAGTAGTGAGCTGTGAATGGGTACAGGAAGTATGAAAGAGAAACAGCTCAGACCTGGCCCATATCTGCCTGTGTTCCAGGAAGGAGAAGGCCTGAGCCTCGGCCATAGGAATAAAAAGGCCCTAAACCCCACAGATCCATACTTGGACGTAGAAGGAGGCTGAAGCTGAAATTCAAGTCCAGAAAATGTGCAGGTGTAGCTGAGGAGGAAAGTGGGCCGATAGAGGCAAACTAAAAAGTCCAAGACACAGAAAAGCTAAAATGAAGGGAGGGCCAGAGAGAGACACAGACAAAGAGATAAGCAAAGGAGAAATGGAGACAGGAAGAGAGGACACATGGCCACTGGGAAGCAGGAAGGAGGATATAAACCCAATTATGCCTTGCCTGGAGCCCTGCACACCCTGTTCTAGGGAAGGCTGCAAGCTGGAGACCAGCGACATCTTTTAACAAACAAGATGAGAGGGAAGAAACACAGGGGAGAATGAGGACCGAAGCTAAAGATCCTAAAGAAGACACATTCTATCCATACTTAATCCCCCATAAACTGAATTCTTACAACCAAGTTGTCCCAGGTATGGCCCAGGGCTGCATGTCCTCCATGCCCTGAACAGGCACAAGAAGGAAGTCTAGTCTTTCTGTCTTGTATCTCTTTGACCCAACAGCATTCTCAGAACCTAGCAGGTGCAAGCTTGAAGGGTTTTTGAAAAAGATTAATTCTTATTTCCCTGAGTATAAGTTCCACGAGGACTGGGATATTCCCCCTGTTTCATTCACTCTTGTTCCTCCAATACCCAGAACAGCATTGGTACATAAAAATATTTTCTGGGTGAATGAGTGAGCCAGGTGGCAAGAGCTGTCCCATGATGTGAACCCCAAGGCACAGCAGGAAGGGTCAGAAACGGTACCTTTTTCTTGCTGCAGTAGATCTGCCATTTCTTCTCGGGGGGCAGTGCAAACACAGCCTCCCGGTTTTTGTCAGTGAGATCCAATTCATCCTGTAAAGACAAGGAAAAAGTATCTGAAACCCAGGGCTCATTGAGATTAGAATATACGGCTCCATAGAAAACTACAGTTCTCATAAATCTGTTGTTCTTCAGCCTATTTCCCTCCTCCTAAAGAGCATTACAGACATGATAGGGTTTTTTTTTTTTCTTTTTTCACTGTTATAGAAATAGCCTCATTCCCTTCCCGCAACCCAAGCCAATGCATTTTATTTCCCGTCTGCCCCCACCTGCTCTCTGCAAATCCACCCTCCTCCTTCAGACCCCTTTGTTCCTGCCCATCTCCTACATTACTTTGCTAGCCCCTACTCCTTTTGCCCAGGGTTTCTTATTTTCCATCCTTCGCCCTTCTTAAGCCTGTCAACACAAGTCAAGGCCTGATGAACAAAGAAGTCATCTACAGATCCAGTCTTGGGTCTCTCAGACCCTTGTCCCCATGCCTCAAGTCAATCTGCCCCTCAAAAGCCTATGTACCCCCAAATTCTCTGACTCTCCAGCCCCAGTGTAGGTCCCAGCATAGGTGTTGATCTGTTTCCCCTGGGGGTAAGCTCTGTAAACTCTTCAGAGGCAGCCCTTCTACTTACAGGACCACCAAGATAGGCTCAGAACTCCACCAGGATAGTCCATACTTTCGGAAGAGTAGAACTAGGAAGTTTCTGAGGTCATCAAACTTGGAGTAACCCTGTACGTTGTTTGGGGTGACTCTGTAGGTGCAGCTGTGCTAGATGGCCCCTAAAAGGTTTGGAGCTGCTTCTCCTGTGGTTTACAAAGCAACACCAGGGCTCACTGAAAAAATAGTTAATGCACGTGGGCAAACCATGAGCTTTTCAACTCAATTACTGTGCCCTTTTTAGAACTAAAAGGCAAAACTTGCATTAAGATGACAAGGTATAATATTACTAACCTTTATATTTTCAAATACCATAAACAAGAAAAGCAATATCTAAGAAAATATAGAGTCTTAAATCTAGCTATCTATAATCTTTTCCCTATACATTTATTCAAGGAAAAACACTTAATGATTTTTTTCACCTAAATCTGAAATGCCCAATAGAAATATAATGTGAGCCACATAGATTTTTAAGTTTTTCTAGTCAATTAAATGAAATGAGTGAAGTTGAATTTAATGCATTTTATTTCAACCATATATCTAGTATATGGACATTTCAACATGTGATCAATGTAAAAAAATTTTTCTTTTTTTTTTCTTTATATATTTTTTTCAAGGTTTTGACATAGGGTTCATGCACTCACCAGAGAAAGACAGAAAGAAACAGTGAAAGGGAAAGTGAGATATCACCCCACATGGGGATGGCCACACTGCAATCTCTTCTCCTCCATTCTCCTCTTGGGATTTTGGGCACACACCTACAAGCATGGTGTGATTTTCAGGCTGCCAGGTCTCAAATTCAAACCATAGCTGGCCATGTGGGAGTCCAGCTCCATAACCACTACACCACCAGCTGGCCCTACTCCTCAAACTTTTAAGGTTATCAAAACAAGGAAATTATGAGAAACACTCATAGCTAAGAGGAGCCTAAGGATACATGATGACTAACTTTAATGTGGTATCTTGCTTGGGACCTTAGGGGGACAGGAACTTTAGATAAAAACTAAAGAAACCTTTATCTTTAGTTAATATCATATCAATATTGTCCCAGCTTTGGTAGTGCACACTGTCGATGTTTCTAATCAGGAGGCTGAAGACACATAGGAGGCCTGAGTTCAATTCCTGGCTCATCCTAAAAAACCTAGATGCAGTGGTATATGCCTGTAGTCCCAGCTACTCTGGAGGCTGAAGCAGTAGGATCATGACATATTAATACTATGTCTGGACCAGCAGTTGGTGTAGTGGCTATGTTGCTGGACTCCCATGGAATTGACTGTGGTTCGAGTCAAGGACCTGGTGGCTTAAACTGACCCGGGCACAGTGCCCAAGATCCTGATAGGAGAATGGAGGAGAAGGGACTGCAGCGTGGCCATCCCCCTAGGAGGGTGATTTCTTGCTTTCTGGTCTCTCTGTCTCTCTCTGTCTTTCTGGCAAGCTCACGTGCCCTATGGCAAAACTCTCCAAAAAAAAAAAAAAAACTGGTACAAGGATGTACACTTTCTCCACTTCTTTTCAATATAGTACTGTAAGTACTTGCCAATGCAATCAGAAAAGAGAATAAAATAAAAGGCATTCAAATAGGAAAAGAAGAGGTGAAATGATCTCTATTTGCAGATGACATGATTGTATACATAGAAGACCTAGTGGTATCCATGAAAAATTCCTGAAAGTAATAAATGAATATAGTAAAGTTGAGGATACAAAATCAACATACAGAAATCTATAGCATTTATATGTGAACACCAAGCAGGCTGAGATAGAACTGAAGGAAAGCAATTTCATTTACCATAGCCACAGAAAGTATAAGATACCTAGGAATAAATCTAACCAAAAAGTTAAGACTTCCACAAGGAAAACTATGATAAAATAAAAAAAGAAATTGAAAATGACACAAAAAAGTGAAAGGACATCGCATGTTCCTGGATAGGAATCAAATATAATATAATCAAAATGGTAATTCTACCCAAACTAATCTACATATTTAACACAATCTCAGTCAAAGTGCCAGAGACATTCTTCACAGATCTAGAAAAGATAATCATACGATTTGTCTGGAATCATAAAATACCTCATATTGTCAAAGCAATCCTGTGCAAGAAGAGTGGAATGGGCGGCATCTCACTCCCTGACCTGAAAATATACTATAAAGCTGTGATAATCAAAACAGGATGGTATTGGCACAGAAACAGACAGGTGGACCAATGGAACAGAATAGAGACCCCAGAAATAAATCCCAAAACACACAGTCAACTAATTTTTTGGGGGAGTTTTCTTTTTTTTTTCTTTATATATTTTTTTCAAGGTTTTGACATAGGGTTCATGCACTCACCAGAGAAAGACAGAAAGAAACAGTGAAAGGGAAAGTGAGATATCACCCCACATGGGGATGGCCACACTGCAATCTCTTCTCCTCCATTCTCCTCTTGGGATTTTGGGCACACACCTACAAGCATGGTGTGATTTTCAGGCTGCCAGGTCTCAAATTCAAACCATAGCTGGCCATGTGGGAGTCCAGCTCCATAACCACTACACCACCAGCTGGCCCCATCGATGTAAAACAAATTATTAATGGGATATTTTACATTATTTTTTCAAAATAAGTCTTCAAAATCTAGCATGCATTTTATTTTATTTATTATTTTTTTTAGAGGGACTTTTGCTATAGGGTACGGTGCTCATCAGAAAGAGAGAGACAGAGAGACAAAAAGCAAGAAATCACCCCTCAGGGGGGATGGCCATGCTGCAATCCCTTCTCTTCCATTCTCTTCTTGGGATCTTGGGCACACACGTACACGCGCCTGGCCTGAGTTTAAGCAACTGGGTCCCGGACTTGAACCTCAGTCAACTAACTACATGGGACTCCAGCGACTTAGCCATTACGCTAACTGCTGATCCCCTAGTATGCATTTTATACTCACAGTTTATCTTATTGTAGTTTGGACTAGCCTGTAGCCCCATGAGGCCATTTGGATAGTACATACAATGACTATCTGAAATAACATCCATCAATTCACCTGTCTTTGGAAATAAGAACTCCTATGCTTTAATGCCAAGCACAGGTTCTTCCCTAGAACTTCTCTCTGCATATCCCAGGAATGTCCTTGGTCAAAATTCCCAGCACCCTTATAAGTTTTCCTTTCCATGGTTAGAAAAAAAAAAAAAAGAGAAAAAATGAGTTATGTACATCTTCCATTTCCCAGCACAAGCTCTGCACCTCTTTAATCTCAGGATCTTTGCTTACACAGCTAGTTCTACGTGGAAAGCTCTCCCTCCCCACTCATGCTAAGGACCCTGGTCTGATTCCTATGGTTCAGTGTTGGCCTCCTTCAGCAAGACATCCATCCATAAGCCTTGAGCAAGAATAGTCTCTCTCCAGAACTACAGAGCAGTTACACTCGATCTTGCATTCTGGTTATTCATGCCCTTGTCTTTTCTAGCCAGTGGTCTCTGCCTCTAAATCAATGAGCATTTCTTGGCAGTTTTGCTCAGTCTAGGCAGCATAAGACCCTTTCTTTCCTGGTTTCTTCAATAACCATACTCTCAAGCAATCTCTCCTTTTTCATTTTATGTTCCTTCTTGGCCTCTTTTGATGACTTCTCTTCTATCTTCAAATGTTGAAATCCCTCAAAATACCAACCTGAGTCCTTTTCTCTCCTCCAAGTTTCACCCTAGGTGGAACCTTATTGCTCATTCCCCAAAACTTAGATATTATCCCAAACTCTTTCAAACTCTTACTTCCAGCCCACTGGTTTCCTTTCCTGAGATCCAGGCCCTAGGCCACAATTGCCTCCTGTACTTCTCTGCTTTGATGTCTCTCAGATGCCCCATACACTTATGTAGTTCTTATGTGCCAAGCACTGCTCTAAGTGCTTCATATTTATTCATTTAGAACTTGTAACAATCTATTTTGCAGATAAAAACCTGATACATGAAAAGAATATGTAAATTTAATTCATTCCGACCCCCTAACCTTCAGGCCTCTCCAGTATATCCTGTCCTGCACGGGGTCCCAGTATCCACTCAGCTTCTCATGTCAAAAATCTAAGTGTTCCTTTGATTCCTATTCTACTTGCTCATTGATCCTACTGAGTCCTATTATCTTTTCTCTTAAATAGACTTTAATTATCTCCATTTCTCTTCATTGTCACTGCTAATATTTTAGTCCAAGCCATTATTCTCCCTACCTTGGATGGCTACAATAGCTTCCTAAAGGTTAGCTTAGAACCCATCCTCAACATAGTACACTGAACAGTCTTTTAGAAAAGCAGATCAGGAGACAGCAGGTTGTGTAGTGGTTGAGGCATTAGACTCCCACATGGCTGACCATGGTTCAAGTCCTGGATCCAGCAACTTTGGAATCACACTAGGCATGTGTGCATTCATGCCCATGATCCCAGGAGGAGAATGAAGAAGGGACTACGGCATGACCATCTCCTCTGGGGACGGGGAGTAATTTCTCACTTTCCCTCTCACTATCTCTATCTCTCCCTCTCTGGAAAGTGAAAGTGCTCTATGACAAAAATCTTATTAAAAACAAACAAAAAACAACAGAATAAGAAGAGCAGATCAGGTTACCTCAAACCCCTATTTAAAGCCATTGGTGGCACCTCCTTGACTTTAGGATTGAATCCAAAATTCATATTTATTCTGGTCTTCATTTATCGCCCAAAAGAACTCAACCCTTCTCTGACTTGAGACTCTTATGTATGCTGTTATATTTGCAGGGAACACTCCATCATTGTTCTGCACTCCCATTCGCTTTTATCACCATCAATGTTTTCACACCTCAGTAGAAATGTCACTGTCCCCAGAGGCCATTGTGATGTCCCTCAGTATAGAATAAGCTCCCTGCTAGACACTCCCAGGTCCCTGGAATGTCTCTGTCCTAACTCTCACCACACTTGTCATTGTTCCTTAAGATCAGTGTTCCCTATTGACTTCTCATTCTTGGAAACAGGGATGAAGTCTGCTTGTTCATCGCTAATTCCTTAGGACTCCCATAGGGACCACCACACAGCAGTGTCTACAAGAAAAATTCTTCACTCACTTGATGGATATCTGATGCCATTCTCCTTGTGGGCAAGACTTGTCTGACTCATCCTCGCTTTTGCTAAAGTGCCTTGCAAGAATCCCTGCCCACTGAACATTTCCAATATTTGTTGAATAAGAGGGCCAATGAAAGGAACACTTGTAAGTATGTCCTTCTTTCAAAAACTCAGACATTCTACTTAAGAAAAGACCCCTGACTAACACCAATCAGGTTCCACATGTTATTCTACACTAGCAAACACTTTGTGCCTCATACTTATCCTGAAGAACAGTATAAAGTAGAAAACAATGAGGTTTCACAAACCTTATGTGGTAAGGAAGCTGTTCAACTTTTTTACCTAGCCTGCATGGTCTGATCTTACAATGGCCCTGAGGTTTGAAGACCTAGGTAGCCTCAACCAGATGCATCTATTTGTAAATACAAGTACAGAGCTGCATTCCAAACCACACAGCACTGTTTCTCTATTGACTTGAGTACCGTCCCACCCCGGGAATGAGCGACCAAGAGCTAATGTAGATGTGCTTATGGCTCTATGCCAGGGTTCAGGTTCTGCATCCCTGGTCTGGGACCTCCCCTGATGTACAAGCTTTGTCTCACCATCAGACCTCCAAAGGGAGGAATTGTGCTTCCTTCCTGTTTGGTCTCTTTGTGGTCAGAGCATGAAATGTCACACGGAGAGACTTCTCACAAAGACTGGTGTACCGGCCTGGGTGGCATTACAGAGTCAGGAAGGGCTGGTGCCAGTGTAAATGACAGAGCTTCCACATGACTCTGGCTAGACCTGAGATATAATCACCAGGGACTCAATCCAGGTGCCAGGTGTGATCTAGGCATCTCTATCTTCCTATTTCTAACAATCATCTCCTGTTCCAAAGTGCCCAGTGTCTGCCTATAGAAGCCCACTCTGTTCCTTCTCCCTGCCTCTGAGATTGGATTCCAGGAAAACTCCAGGTGTCTATCAAATGCTCTAATGTTCCTGGGAGACTCCATACTGCCTTCTTTTACAAAAGTCTGATTCTGTGTTAGCATAACTGCCGTACCATGTGGTCTGAGATCCAGCAATACTGGAGATCAGTTTATTCTTCCGAGGATTCCCCAGAAGAATTTCACATTTCACGGTGCCCACCCCAGTGACAGACTGTCTCCTCACACAGCTGGGGTGCCCAGGGGGCCCACCTCAGAGCCCCAAGGGGAGTTTTGAGAGGTGGAAATTCCTGCCCTCTGTTATTCCGTACTTGCCCATCCACCTCCCCCGCCCCCATTGTCATCACCCTCCCTTCCCATGCCCTCACTAACCACCAGCTCTGCAAAGCGGATATTAAGCTCTTCTGGGTTGGGGATGGGGCTGGAAAACTCCATGTACTGCAGAGGGTGGTTGTCCCGGAGGTTGATCTCAGGGAGGTCGCTGCCCCCGAAGCAGCACAGGAAGCCCAGGCCATGGCGGCTCCTCTTGCGGGGAGCCATGGTCACTGCCAGCCGGGGTGCACTAGACAGATGCACTAGGTCCTCATTGTGACCTGGGTAGGAGAACAAAAAACACAGGGTAGTCAGTTATGGTAGCCAGCCAGGCAGGGGCAGAGGTCATTCTGCCTTCATAATGTCTTTGCCCCACAGTCCATCAGGAACTCTCAACCCAACGGCTAAGGCCCCCTCCCTTCTCCACAGTTTCTTTTTCCCCTTCAGTTCTTTCCACCTGGACATGTTGACATATGTGTTCCCCTCACAACACCCTTCAAGTGTTTCTGCAAGGATCACTTTCACATTCCCCATTCTTGTCACCAAAGAAGGGAGAAGGATTACAGTCATAGCATGTGACTTCCGGGCCGGCAGAGCTGGAGCTCATCTTGTCCTCTTCATGACTATGAATACAGAATCCTACTCCCTGTTCTCTGGAAGGTCAGTTTCCAGAAAGACCCACTCATTTGATTCATTTGGGGGCCTGGGGAGGGAAAGGTTGAAGAGGGCTGGCAGAAGAACACAGGGTTAAATATATAGACAGTAGAATTCCTGGGGCAGGGACCTCCAAAAGGAGTAGAGGATAAAAGGTTTGAGAGACCTGCACAGTTTTCTGCCCCATCTGTGGTACCCAAGCATGTTTGGATGAAAGTGAAATATCAACAAGACCACTGATTCAATTATCCATTTACAAGAATGAGGCCAAGTACCCTGAGAGAGGTCACCAGGGGAATCCTGGGTAAAAACAATGGGGCTAACCACTGAAAGGGTATTCAGCATATTAAAGAAAATCTGATCAGAGCTGCTTTTTATACCAACCAAGAACAGAGGATTCTGCTCTGGCCGGAGACGGGAACTGACGGAGAGCCAACAGTTGGAATAGGAAGGATAAAGTCTTTGGCTTGCCATTGGGAAAGCCTGGTGCACTGACGACCAGCTTGAGGAGGGACACTGGCCCCAGCCACTGATGCCACTTGGCTTCTAGACCAATTATGTCCAACTATCTGCACACAGACTTCCTTGCCCGCTGGCTCCCCCACATTTAGACAATTTACATTTCAGACAATGTAAGTGGGTTCACCAAACTGTTGCCCAGTCAGATTCTTCTATCACATACATACATATCCCAATTTTTCAGATATAAATACAGAAGATCCTGAGTTTGTTGTTGTTCTTTTTTATTTTGGAGAGGTTTTTGCTATAGGGCACATGCACTTGCCAGAAAGACAGAGAGACAGAAAGCAAGAAATCACCCCCCAGAGGGGGAGGATGGCCATGCCACAATCCCATCTCCTCCATTCTCCTCTCGGTATCTTGGGTACACATGCACATGCGCCCAGCGTGAGTTTAAGCCACAGGGTCTGGGACTTGAACCATTGTCAACTACGTGGGAGTCCAGCAACATAGCCATTATGCCAACTGCTGGTCCTGAAGATCCTATTTTTATCCTTGTTGAGTATCTTTAATTTGGGGGTCAAGATATTTTTGAGTTTTGCTTCTTAGCTGTTTTCCCTATATTTGGGTTAACAAATTAGAATGATTTCACAATCATCACTCACATCATTGATGAAAATATTGACCATAAGAACACAGACCCCTGTGACACAGCAGCCTCATCTAGGAATACCAGAGAATTATTTGTCATATTCTCAGGGGACACTCCTTCACCTGGCTCTATATTCATTTAACTATGTTCTTATCCATCCCTCTTTTCTACAAAGACAACATGAGAGTTTTCCTAAAGCCCTGTGGAACTCAAGATACACTCAGTCTAAGGCATCCCTTTGAATCAAGTCTTATCAAAACAGAAAACAATATAAATGTGGCACAACTTGTTCCTAGTGAGTTCAGGGAAACTTCTAGAGAACATTGCTTTATTTCCTAGCTCCTAACAATCCAGCCAATACCAGTGTAATCTTATCTGACTTGCCATAGTAGTCATGATCTATCTTAATTATCATTCTAGAACTTTTTACCAGCTCCATTTATCTTTCTTTATAAACTTTGTGATCAACTTTTTAAATAGGCTCAGGGGACCCTCAAATAACACATATCTAAAGTCACCTTGTATTACTGGTAATGCTTTCTCTGCTTCCATTTTGGCTCTCACAAATATAACCAAAGCTCTTTGAGGGCAGGCACTCTCTCCTGCTTCTTTGAGACCCTCATCCCCTAATTCTGTGGTTAATAAAAGGCTTTTGCTTAATGGATGCTCAATGAGTATTTCATCAATTGGGAAACAACCTATTCTCAAGGGGAAGGAGGAAGGAGAAGTCCTTATTAGTCACTCAAAAAAAAAAAAAAAAAAAGGATTAAAATCTCTGACTACTGAAAGGTAACAGGTAATCAGGAATCTTGGTAAAGAGCAATAGGAGGACAGTCCCAAGGTTGGAGGTAGAGGAACAGCCAGCAGGCTCATGCAGCAATTCTGGTATATGATGGTAAATGCCTACACAGGCTAGAACTAATAAAAACAGAGAAGGAAGACTTAGGGATTTTTCATGGAATTTGACAGTCAATGGCCAAGACTAGGCAAGACAAAGCCCTGGCCCTGATCTCTGGTAAGCTTAGTAAAGAAACAATTCTTTAGGTAGATAAGGTGGACTACCCTGGGGGGTCTTGTGCCCTTTGTCAAGTTTGGAATGATCATGTAGAATACAAATCAGATCCCTTTTGTTTCATCAGCTTTCAAAATGCAGCTGCAGCTGGTGAGCAAGACTGCTTTGTTTAGGGTGCAGAGCATGAGAAGGAAGCTCCCCTATAGGCTGCAGTGAGGCCAGCTTGATAGCATGGTGGATTCTAGGGAGAGATGCCTGAAAGGACCTATGAATCCCTCTTCCTGCCTTCACCTCCTCAACTTCTTCTTGCTCCCCAAGTCTTCCTCCTGTTCCTTTGCTCTTCATCTCCTAAGATAAGCTTAACCAAGATGAATCACGGGTGGGAGCAGGGCTGGCATACAAATGGTCCAACCTGGCACAGTTTAACACCCACTGTTTACAGCCATGGCTGCTATAATTGGTCAGTACCTGTGACATACCTATTATTAAATATTTTAGCATCTCCCCTGAGTACAGAAAATGAAGTGCAGTGGTCCATAGGACAAAGGAAGAAGTAGACACAGACCTTACAAAAAGGAAGTACCATCCCCCAAGAGAAGGGCCTTGCACTCTCAGGGCAGTGCTGCATATTTGCCCTTTTAAGGGGCTGCCTGTTTGACAGCTCTCCAGTGTGTTTATGTTCCTGAGGCCAACCCTCCTCTCAACTATCCCCTCTTTTGTCTTTCCCTGCCTCCTTTCTTAAGGCCCCATCTGAATATCCAAGACCAAAACCACAGTCTCTCAGCTGGAAGGAGTCTCACAAATCATGTAGCTTCATGATAGAGATCAAAAAACTGAAATTCAAAGAGGAAATATCTGAGAGTCACATAGCTGGGGACAGAGGCAGGATTAAAACCCAGGATACTAGCATCCAGGCTATGGTCTGGTCACTGCCCCAAAAGAGCACATCTTCCTACCTGGATTGGCCTCTTTTCTCATCGTGCCCCTAGCCACCCTCCCCCTCATCCCTTCATGCCCAGTAAACTCACTTTGCTAAAAAAGAGTAGTATCTACAACCTGGTTTAGAAATACCTCTAGTCTCAGGACCAGCAAATGGTGTAATGGTTATGTTGCTGGACTCCCAGATAGTCGACTGTGGTTTGAGTCCCGGACCCAGTGGCTGGAAACACACGCTGGGTATGTGTGTGTGTGCATGTCCAAAATCCCAAGAGGAGAATGGAGGAGAAGGGTTTGCAGGATGGTCATCCCCCCCTGGGGGGATAATTTCTCATTTCCTGTTTCTCTGTTTCTCTCTATCTCTCTGGCGAGCGAATGTACCCTATAGCAACAATCTCTCTACAAAAAAAGGAGAAGAAGAAATAAATACCTCTAGTTTGAATATCTCTTTCTCCTCTCAGACCAAGAGAGGTTTATGGACACCCCAAAGGCCACCTGCTTCTTCTCCCCCATCAGTAGAAACTACTTCAATCCTCATACCCCAGGAACTTGCCCATCCCTGCTCCAATGCCCCAATTCACTCCAGCTTCCTGGTAGCAGAGGAAAAAGCAGAGATTTAGACGTTAGACAGACTAGGATTCGACTTCCAGCTTTGCCTTTCCAGAAGGTGACTCCAGGCCTATCTCTTAACCTCTCAGAGCCCCAGGTTTCCTCATCTATGATGCTCAGATAGTCAAGGCATCTTCCTCACTAGGTTTCTATGAGACATAAAAGAAGTAAGGGGTAGGATGGTGGCATAGCAGTAAGACTCAATGCTCTGTGAGGATGACACACATGGAGGGCTCCAGGTTCATACATGGAGACCTTCCTGAGTACATTGGGCATTGACATGCCCATAATCCAGGGCTATGGATGGATGGGCCTCAAGACTCTGTTGGGAATGCTGTCTCTGTCCCTCTCTCTCTCTCTCTCCTTGTTCATGGAAGAAATTAACTATTTTAAAAAAAGTAAAACAAGTTCAGCACACTGGGCACTCACAGATGAAGACTACACTGCTGTGGGGACTTCATTCTCATTATCACCGGCAAGGTGAGGGAAAGGTGAGGTGGCCAGGGCAATTCATTTCTGCAAAAGCTCTTCAGAAAGAGGAACAATGAAGGTTTCCACCTCAGAGGAAACTGGAAAAGCAACAGGAGAAGTGGGGGGAAAAGGCAGAACAAAACCCAGTGAGCTTGCCTATGGGCCAGAGGTTTAACCTGCTCCTCCCACCATCTACTTTCCTCTCCAAGGAAACTTCCCCAACAGCAACATCTCCCTGCCCTCCATATCCCATCTCCTTGTATCCTCCCGTCTTCCTGCGTAGACAGGTCTTTTCAGGACTGTTAGTTCCTAAATATAGACCAACTGGCCTACAATAGCAAACCATTAGGTCACAGCCACCAGTGAGGGCTGCAGGGCCCTGGATAAAGAGGTCTTCTCCAGTCCTCTAGCTCCTGCCAGACTTCCCCTCCCCATGCCATGGTGTGGAGAAAACATGTTGCCTTCACTCCAGACACTGGGGCCAGTGC